AAATGTTATTAATGTTATGGGTTATTCAGTGGTTTTTATTTCCTATAGGGTTTAGTGGTCCCTGTCATCAGAAATGTAGAAACAATGAATTTTGCTGACATTGAACGTGCAATCAATGAGCTGGGAGAGAAGGTAATTACTCTGAAGGGGTCTTCAAAAGAGACAGTAGAACCCACATTTTGTTTTAGGAATGAAAAAATAGAAGGTAGCATGCTGAAATTAAAGGTAACAGAATCAAAAGTCACACTCAGCAAATTGAGGACAAGCTGAACAGGGCATCTGGGTATTCTCTACTTTCAATAGCCTTAAAAGTTCAAACATAAAATATGCCTCCATTGCTAATTGATCCAATAAGCATCTGAGTAGTTCAGCATTTTGTTTTTAAGAGTAGCCAGAGAGATGCCTCCAGGAAGTCTGTAAGTGGGGAACAATTTTTTTTCTCTTCCTACCCAGTGTAAAACTCCTCCTGCCAGACCACTCCAAAGTTATACCCAGACCAAGAATTCTGAGTTCAGGGTCACCGATCATGGAGAATCTGCTGAATCATTATAGAATCATATATATTGAAAGTAGGCTCATGGAGAATAGCTCTGCTTTTTGAAAAGGCCTCCAAGCTAGTGCCCATCACTACATCCAATTGGGTTGAACATGTTTCTACTAAGTCTTCATGATGATTGTGGTAACTTTCTACAGGTACAAATTCACTATACTTGGATTTGAATATGTGCTTTATGTGATAGATTAGGAACAGAGAAATCATTATCTTCCAGGTAGTAGAACCATGTGTACCTATGCTCTTCTTTTACATATCCAGAAAGGTTATGCCAGTGTTGTGGCAGAACAGGATAACCCTTATTATGCTTAGAATTACATGTGTATATGTTCTATACTAGAAAAATCATGTCCTGCTACAGTCTCAAAGAATCAACCCTATGCTCAGTGCAGGATCCACCACGGCATCTCTGATGGATGACCATCAAGCCTTTGTTTGAAGACTTGGTGAAGGAAAACTCACTACTTCATGTGGCAGCCCATTCCACTGGCTGACAGTTTATACACTTAGGGAGTTCTTCCTGAGATCTAGTTCTAACCCACTGGATCTGGTCTTGCCCTCTGAGGCAACAGTGAATAAGCCTGTTCCCTTTTCTGTGAGACAACCTTTCAAACTGAAAACTGCTCAGTTTCTTCTCAATCATCTCATCTATATGCTGAATGATCCTTTAGGGCTTAGCTTCCAAATCCTTAGTAGTTGTCTTCTGAACTTGCTCTAATTTGTCATTATCCTTTTTGAACTGTGATGCCCAGAACTAGACACAGTATTCCAACTGGGCTCTGACCAGGGCAGAATAGAGTGGAACAATTATTTCCTGTGATCTGGGCTCTCTGCTTTTGTTAATGCACCCCAAGATAACATTTGCCTTTTTGGGTCCTGCATCACACTGCTGACTCATTTTTAACTTGTGGCCTACAAAGACACCCAAATCTTTTTCACATGTACTACTGCTACTGCTAGCAGTAGAAGACCTACTGCTGAGCCTGGTGTCCCCTCCTATGCTTGTGGTTTCATTTTTCCTACACAGATGCAGAACTTTATATTCCACTTTGTTAAATCCTATTAATTCCAGCCCATTGCTCAAGCCTCTCTAGCTCAAGCCTTTTGAATTCTCTCTCTCTCCTCTAAAGTATTAGCCATTCTTCTCAATTTTGTGTCATCCATAAACTTGATAAGCATCCCCTCAACTCCTTCATTAAGCTGTTGATAAAAAGGTTGAGCCCTATGGGACTCTTTTCAGTACTTCTCCCAGGCCTTGGATTAGGGTGGTAGGGGCCCCTACTGAATTGTGTGTGAGTGTGTTTGCTGGATCCACCATCAGTTTTTACTGTTTATTCTTTTATTCTAATTATTGTATTGTGTTTTTATGTTGATGGTTTTATTGTATACCGCCCTGAATCGGATGGAGTCAAGTGGTAATAGATTAGATCAGATCAGATTAGATCTTCCCTCCGGAATGGAGCCATTAATGAGCTCTTTTTGGATGCAGTCATTCAGCCAAGTGTAAGCCCATCTAGCAGAAATATCATCTAGTCCATGCTTTACCATTTTATTAAGGAGCATATCACAGTGATTTCGCTGAGGGTTTTTGTGAGATTCAGATAAATTGTGTCAACAGCATTTGCTTGAACTACTAAGCTAGTAACTCTGTTAGAGAAGAAGATATAGTCTGATAGAATTTGTTTCTGACAAGCCTAGCCTGGCTCCTATTAATTGTGACATACCTGTCCAAATGTTCACAAATATAATGTTTAATAGTCTGTTGTAGGGCCTTGTCCAATATAGATGTAAAGTTGGGGACATTTGTCTTACAGAACTCCTTGTCAGTCTTCTGGAGTTCCTTAAGTTTACTAACAGCAATTCTGCAATCATCTCCACTAGTTCTTTTAGTACCCTAGGATGTAATTCATCCAGCCCTGGAGATTTGAATTAATTTAAATTACCAGTTTTCTCCTTGTCCGTCCTTTGCTGCAGTTCCTCATTCCCCTAATAGCATAATGATGACCAGCTAGATCTCCATTTCCATTCTGAGGGAAGACAGAGGAAATAGGTGTTAAGAAGCTCTGCCTTCTCTTCATCACCCATTACCAATTGGCTGTGTTCTTCTTGTGTCAGACCTATACTATCTTTGGCTTTTTTTGTTTCTAACATACCCAAAGAACCCTTTTTTGTTATTGTTTCTGAGCACATTGTTTTCACAATTCTCTGCCGTTTTGTTGAACTTTGACTGTTCTAATGTATAGTTTCTTCAACCTTGAAGACAATTTTTTAAAGTATCCTGAAGTTGTGAACTTTAAGGTACTGCCCAGTTAATGGTGTATTTTACTAGTCATTGGGGTGTGACAGTAACATACTGTTTTTCTCTGATAAGGGCTCATATTTGCAATGTCCATGTTTGTCATGTTGAGAGCTGGGACCCAGATACTGTTTTTTCTCTCTGATTTTTCTTTAAATATTCCAGTGTAAACCATTTTATAGTCATTGTTTTATCTCATTTCAGGCTCGCAAGAATGAGCTTGCTATTGAAGATATGGATGGTGGTACATTCACCATCAGCAACGGTGGAGTATTTGGATCCCTTTTTGGAACACCCATCATCAACCCTCCTCAGTCTGCTATCTTGGGCATGCATGGCATCTTTGATAGGCCTGTTGCTGTTGGAGGCAAGGTATGTTCTGTGGAGAAGATACTCAAAGTTTAAGGGATCTTTTAACATTACTCTAGTAACTGAAAACCACTTTTCCATAATTAGCTCTTATGTAGTAGCAGGGAGGATTTTTAAATGCCCAACTAAATGAATATCAAGTTCCTCAGTTCATGCTGCTCGTGGAAAAGCATATCCTACTTGGTTATATTAATGTCTGTGAAGTTCTTTAGTTGAGAGGAAAGGAAGAAATTGGTTTGACTTTAATCAAGTAGAATAGAAAAGACACCATAATTGGAAATCTTGACTGCTGTGAATTTTTTCAGAGAAGAAAACATTATTTGAGGAACTCTTTTGAGTTGTGATTTTAAAAGGATTTGGGTCATCAACACCTCAGATTCTTTGCCAAGAAATCAGAGATATTCATTGAGCTTATTTTGCTATCCACAGGCAATTCTAGTAAGGATTAAAAATGAGGGATTAGTTACTTGCCAAGGGTTAAAACATAAAAAAAGCAAAGAAAAATGATAAAATATTATGGCCTGGGGGCAAGATACAAAACTCATATAATTACAACTGAGTCAGTGCCTAGGGGAAGAACCAAGGCTTTGGGGCCTTCTTAAAGGGCTAACCAAATTTTGGGAAAGAGGGCTGATTCATAGGGCACTTGAGGTTCTTGGGGTAGAGAAAGTAGAGCAAGTGAAACTAGTAAATGAACAAGTTGAGGCAGAGAGTAACTGCCAAAGAGGATGTTCAGTTTAACAGTGAGACTTCTCTTAATTTAGGTTGAGGTGCGACCAATGATGTTTGTGGCACTGACTTACGATCATCGGTTGATTGATGGGAGGGAGGCAGTGACTTTCCTGCGCAAGATCAAGGCTGTGGTGGAAGATCCTCGGGTTCTGCTGCTTGACTTATAAAGGGTCACAGCACATCCTCTCTCGCCCCATCCAGTAGAGCAAGGATACAGCACCAGCAGATAAAACAGAGGACATTGAGGAATCCGCAGGGCTTCATTCCAGTCTCCTCCTCCCTAGTTGCAAGAGGTGCTTTTTAAAGGAAACTTGAGAGATGTGCTGTCTCTTCCAAAGCTGTTCATTTTATTCCCAGAATAAATGAATGGATGTCATGGTCTGTTCACATATAACCTATCCTCCCTGCCTCCCCTCCCCAATCCAAATAGGTCTAACCTTGCCTCTCTCCTGAGGTACTGCAGGAGGAGAAACTACTGGCTTCTTAGCTAGAGTTTCCCTCCCAACCTGGTCTTGCACAGAATTTCAGCTTTAATTCACTCTGGGGCAGGATGCCAGAAAAGAGGTAAATTGTTGCTGGGTCTCTTGTTTAACATGATGACTCTTATTTTTGCAAAGTTAGCAGGGGAGGGGAACTGTCATCTACCATGATTCTTTACACAGTGCCTGATCTTACCACCTCCGTAATAGAAAGCAGATATTTACTCTATCCCCACCTTTGAGGTTTTTTACTTAACAGGCACTTCGGACATTACTCCCCACTGCCACCCAACAACCATTTTTATAGCCTGCATTGACATCAGGCAATTTAAGGATGGCTTTCAGGAATTTTTCTCTGCCCCAGTTCATTAGGAACAAAAAGATCACAGCAACTCAGACTGGGAAAAGATAAGAGCTGGTTTTTAAACTTGAATAAGGCAGAATTGGTGTCCCTTCTTAATATCGGGACCAGTTCAAGCTGAGTAATCTCCACAACTATTCTAAATTCTATCCAATTCTCAGTGATTGACTTCATCAGTTTCCTGTCTACAGTGATTTGGCTTGATTGTGTGGTATTGTGAGTTGGGACTACAGTGTCTCTGGCATATATCCTGACATAAGACTGCTGGTTCATGGGGACATATCCTTAGTACAATAGTGTGCACATGTATTGTTGAGTAAGAGGGTTGCTAGTGCCTGCAGGGTTTATTACTCTTGTCCACTGCACAGAACTTGTAATTAAAATATTTAACAACAGATTTTAAAACAAAATAAAACAAGGAAATTATGCATGAGTGTTGTTGCTGATTATCTCTGGGATGATTAGAAAGGTTTTGCAGCCTTTCACAGAAGGAAAATGAAATGTTCTACAGGCAGCTGTTGAGAACTGTTGCTGTGCTCACTCTAAAAATCTAATCAGACGAACTAATTAAATGAGAATCTTCAGCTGCTGAGATTTAGTAAAAGTAAATCTCAGGCTGAATATAGTTCAGTGTTGGCTCAGTGGGTTGAGACCAGACTTGGCTTTTCTCCATGGGATTTAAATATGGCCTGATTAGTATATTCTGTTTAACATTAACAAGCTGTAATGTGTTCAATTTATTTATGTGTGTTAGCCCTCAGTGATTAGTCCAACAAATCACCATTAGGCTTAATGTTATTTACAGACTCATATTAAAGAGCTGTTTATATGTGAAGAAAAACATGATTGGAAAAAGATTGTGCCACACACTCTATGCACTATTTAGGATGTCAGAGAGTCAGTGTTAAGTGAATCATATGACAAAAAAACATTTCCAACCTTAACCAGAACTTGCTTCCATTTTCTGTTTGAGGGCAGAAGTTTTCTTCCTTTGCCTCAAATAAGGTATTGTTGCACAGCTTTGTCCATCCAGCATCCATGTACGCTCTGCAACTGGGGCCCAGACAGCATGACCACCTCAATACATGTGCCATTTCTAGTAGCACTGCTAGACCTGTAGCATTAGTGTGGCTCTTCTGGTACTGTCCAATCTAGGCCTTTTGAAAACCTTATTTGAGGCAGGTGGCAACATTTCTAGAGATTCACAAAAGTCCTTGTGCTCCAGTTGTTTTATTGATGTTACAATAATTAGAGACAAGACAATGGACGATCCACAGAAAGGAGTCCAAAGAGTGGTCTTCTGCTCACTTCCTTGCTAGGTAAAAAGTCACAGTTCTACAAAGAAGTCATTTTCTGAAGAGGACATGCAAGCTGTAGTACATAAAGGTCACTGAAAATGTCCCTCTAGTGGTACATTCATAGAACTGCACCACCAACCTGCAAAAGTTGTAATGTGCTTCAAATAAAAAACAATGGGGTGACAAATGTGAGGATTTTATAGGGCAAATGCGTACAAAGGAAAGATTAAAGAACCAACTGGAAAGCTGACCTAAACATAAGATACAGGAACAAATACAATGTAAAGCTATCTCCTTCTGGTCATATTTTTTGGGGGAAAATCAAGTAGGATAAGAAAATGAGGCCCTACTTATACTGTTGTAAGGACACACCATATTTGGTCTTTAAGTGCCAGAGTTTGCAGCAATGGCAGGGTGTTTGACTTCAACTATTGTGTTACCATTGGACATCTTTAGGGCTCCACAGTTGTCATCACTGCCTTACAGGAATCTTGAGATGGCTAGGATTTTTGTGAAGCTGCTACTGGCACAGGGTTAGGAAGCAGAATAGGAGCAGAAGTCTAAGCACACAGGTCCCAGCCCAGTTCTGTGGATTCTTCCCCAAGCAATGGCAGTGCCAATGTCTCCGATTCATAAGGCTCAGTGTATCATACAGGAACAAGTGCTTTTGAAAGGATGTGGATCATCTGTCTGGAGCACAATTCAACAGACTCAATTTGGTTTTCTACCAAGCATAATCCTACCACTATCCCTTGCATTTAGAACTTAGTTTGCAACCATCTTATTCCATTGGATCGAACTGAAAAAAATGTGTGACTTAATCTTGCTTGCACCATTTTCACCAGAGCCCAAACGTTGCTTAGGATCGTACTGCAGCAGCTAAAAAAAAAAAAAAAAGACTAATTCAGATTCGCACTGCGTAGCAAAACATTTGTTTTTTCTTACTAATCTTGCACTTCTGATACTTGAATAGCAACCTCACCTCTGACAGCAGTGATGAAGCAGACTGGCTGAGCTTTTCTGGAAGATGGATCTGGGTGTGTGGATGAATCCCTGAGGGGTGATTCTGCGATAAAGACTGTAAAAGAGAAGTGAGGCTATTTAGAAATTAGAATATTAGCTGCCTTTGCTTATAAGACAAACAACTCCCTTTACTGTGCCACTCACATAAAGGAGACAATGTATTAACAAAACTAACAATTACCAGTAAGTGGGTCTCAAGTGCAGGCATTTTGCACCTTGTATTGTACTTCTATAGAGCTAGATCACAATGTGACTTTGAATAACACAATATTCTATTTAGTCCAAATTGTACAACAATACCAGGTCGTGTTTAATGCAAACCAAAGTTCAGTTCATGTGAGGCTAGTGCATGCGCAGTTGAGGGTACAGGGTACCACTAGGATTTTAGACACTGCTGTTTCAGTCTGCGCTTGTTTCTCTTCACATATGCATGTGCTGTTGCCTGCCATTTTTGTGATTTGTTTTAATCGTTTTAAGAAATGCTCTTGACAAAAAAAGATTCCTTCAGATAAAAACACAAGTACAAAAAAGAAGAGATTCATTACTGCTTTTTTCATTGCCTACTTCCATCGAATTGGAACCAATTTACCATATTTTACATGTAATGATAACTTTGAATAGTGCAAATTTGAATAATGCAACCACTTCATGGGATTCATTATCTGCACTAATCAAGACCTAGTTGTACTGTTATAATTGAACTACCTCCCATAAAACACATTATACATCTTAAAACTTAACATCAAACAATGTCCATTGTAGTCAAAATATCATAAATACTGTCTACAGAGTGACAACATTTGTCAGTGAACAAATCTCCTCCAGAACAATTCCATTTTCACTCTCTTCTGGAAGGCCCACAATGAAAGGGCTTCCTTAAACCTGCAAAAGAGTATTCCAAAGTTCAGGGGCTGCTAACGAAAACTATTGTTTGTGACTCCTGCTCCTTTTGTCTCCAAAAACTGGGTTAGGATTATCTGGACTAACAAAAAGTTTTGAATAGGGTGTGCATAATGGGTGATTTGCTTCTCTGCAGAGGTGGTATTACAGGTACCTTGGCCCCAAGCCAAATTGAGTTTTATAGGTTAAGACTAATACTTTGTATTGCACCCAGAAACTGTCTGGGAACCAGTGCAGTGGTTGGAATATAGGTGTTACACGCCACTGCATTTTGCACCAGTTGTCTTTTGAGGGTGATCTTCAAAGGTAATACCATACAGAAGACATTCAGAGATTCAGAGGCAGCCCTACGCAGGGTGTGTTGCAGTTATGCGCATGACTTTATTTATTTACTTACTTATTGGCCTTATAAGCTGCTCCAACTGGCATACAACTCCACAGTATGTAGTTATGATTAAAACAATACAAATCAATTTAAAAAAACAAATGGAACGATACATACTCAGAAGAATAAAACCAATTCCTTCTCAGGGATTATTATAGTAAACTGGCCCCATGGCTTGATGGAATAGCCACTAATTTCCTGAAGGCCTGGAGGGAGGAGGCTGTTCAAATGTTGAGGAGGAATATTATTCCATAGAAGGACCCACATTGATGGATGATTTCACTCAGCAGTTTCACGCAAATATTAAATAGAAGTGGGAAGAGCATCAAGTTCTGTGAAGTCTCATGGTTAAGGGGCCTAGGGCTCAACCTCTTCCCCTACCACCACCAACTGAAACTATCCATTCAGGAAGGAGGAGAACCACTGCAAAACATGCTCCTGCTTTTGCTCCTGTTGGAGATGGCTCAAAAGGATAATTTAATTTATGGTATCAAGAGCTGTTGAAAGGCCAGGCAGGGTCAGGAGGGAGCATTATCCCTGTCCCAGTCCTATCAGAGATATCCATAAGCAAGATCAATGCAGACTCTGTGCTAAACCCAAGTCTAAAACTTGACTGAAACAGGTCCAAATAATTCAACATTTCTTCCACGACCTGTTGCTGCTGCAGCCCAACCACTTTCTCCACTATGTTACCTCTCAAGGACACGTTCACCATAGCCCCAGCCCAGCTCCCCATCACTTCCTGGAAGCTTTCACCAACCAGGAAGGGCAAGAGTCCAGACTGCAAGTGGTTAAGCTGAGGTTGTAAAGAACCCTGTCCACTTTCTCAGGATTCACAGGGTCAAACTCATCCCAGGTAACTTTGCCATACAAAGCCTCAACCGTCTCCTCTGGGCTTGCCTAGCTGGGATCCAACTCTGAGTGAATCTGTATGTCCTCCAGATGCCTAGAGAAATTCCTCACAGCACTTCAGATGCTTCTCATATCCATCCCTGCCCGTAGAGCCCATAACACTTTAAAGAGGGCTGCTGGGCAGCAATCTGTAGACACAATAAGAATGGAGAAATGTCAACATTTCACTGCTGTTATTGCCAGTGTCTACCCCAATATTGGGTCTCATTCATGCTAGGTCAGAACCACTCTTCATATTATAGCAATGGTGCTCTAGGTATCTCTTGGCTTGCTTAATTCCTTGGAGTTGCTTGAAAAGCCATGCCTCCTCCTTACCTCCTACCCCCGGGGTTGGGAAGTCAGGAGACAGAATTCAGGTTCAATTTTGCCTAAGGCAGATACTTCCTCCGTGTTGCAACAAGTAGCTAAGGCCTTGATGGAACAGCCCACCATCAGCTGGGGAAACTCCCCAAGTGCCTTCTGGAAACTGATACCTCAGGAGGGCTAACTGAATGGGACTACCCTACCTAGAAAGGTACATGGCACCAGGCAGCTCCACAGCAATCAGCAATCCAACCATGACAGGGGACAGATGTTAATGTCTCCGAGTGTTAGATCATGTTGCAACTGCCCCAAGACAAAAACCAGATCTAATGACTGGCCTCCAGTGTTCATTGGGTCTTGTATGACCTGGGCCAGGATCATGGACCATGGTCATCATGAACTCCTGAGCCACTTCTGATTTGTCTCCCAGGGAAGGCAAGTTGAAATCCCCAAGAACAGTCAGCTCCTGGAAATCCAGTTCAGTAATGAGGTCCAGCATCTCATGCAGGGAGGGAGAGCAGTACAAAAACAGCTTCCCACCTTGTCCTAGAGCCAAGCTCTTATTGATGGTACATTTTTAGCTAGTGCTGTTAGTAGCATTTTTTCTGGGATCTTAATACTGGATTGCACCTTGAGATTCAATGCTTTCAGGCTACTCACCACTCCATTCAATAACTCATAAAGCAGCGCACCAAAACTCCACCAATCACAGGCTTCTGTCAGTTCAGAAATTCCACCCACCTCTGCAAAATAACCAAGCACACAAACATAAATTAAAGCCCGGAGATGCAGAAGAACAACACTGGCAAAACCTCTAAAAGTTTTTGGAGCAGTCTGTTATGGGCTGTCTCCACTGCTATGCTCATTCCCTTCCCCCCACATACACCTTTGTATATGAGCCTTTCCAGATACAAAGAGCAGGGTCACAACAGTCCTTAGTCATACCTGGAGCACAATACAAATCGTCTACTGCTTGGCTGCTACACTGCGGCTCAACCTCACTCCACTGGCCAAAGTAAGTGAGACGGAGGTGACCTACGAAGAATATCAAGAGTGGTTAGCACTGCGAAGCCAGGCATTAAGCCCTGTTGTCATTTCTGCTTTTTACTCCCCAGCCAATTACTTTGTGGCTCTGCTGTAAAAGTAGTGGTGATATTCAGCTGCAATGAACGTAACACCAACTAGAGAAGGGATCCTGAAGTTATATTTTTATTGTGTTTTTCTTTCTCCTGAATGATTTAGTTTACCCCAGGTATACATCTGAGGCACCCATTTTATTATACAATTATACATGCAGTCTATCATTGTTTCCCTTTATGTCAAAGGAAAAATGATAAGGAATTATATAGACAAACATGATCCAAATGACTTTAAAGAATATCAGCCTCCCAATACTTTGACCATATTATATAATAATGAAAGAATATTTATTTTTCATACAGTATTTTTTATACAGTACATACAGCTCAAGGATAAAAGAAAAGTGACTTTCTAATAAAATCACACATCACTACACCACATGAAGGACTAAAGCTTTCCTTCACTATTTGAAGAGAAACTTACCAGTGTCATCTAATAGCAGATTTCGTGGGTTGAGATCCTGGCACAGGATTCCCTGTTGGTGGAGACCTTCCAGAGCCAAAATCAATTCTGCTGCCCAAACTTGGACCTGCTCCTCATTTATGCTCCAAATGACAGGGCTATGGCTTTGGACAACTGGTTCCACTGAAGATCCATGCCACCCTACTCTTGATTGGGTTTTGAGATGTTTGTGATCAAGAATCAGTGCTCTCTGCACAAAAGTCTCTTCTTCTCTCATTTCTATCTTCTCCCCATGGTCCTCCTCAAGAGTTCCAGGATACAATTGTTTTTGCCATGGAGTTTCTGTCTTTGATTTGTTGTATCCTCTTGTTGCTTCCAAGGCAGAATGTCTAAGTCTTTCACCTGTTTGTGGTTTTGATTCTGGCTGAGGAGCCTCTTTCTCAGATATACTTCTGCTGCCATCAATTGTCATAAGTGAATCACAGGACCTGAAAGTCAGTCTCTGGCTGACTGAGTTATGTTCCTGAGGTACTGTTTTGAATGTAGATTCTGTAGCACCAGGAAAGGGGTGTGTTGTGCTTAGATTCTTCTTCCATGGTCCACCTGCCTTTTCATTATACCACCTGTGGTCACTCAAGGTTCTAGCAGAAAGGTGGTTGGATGACTGCTTCGTAGACAACAAATAGTCCATTTTTTTCAATAGGGGATGATTTACAAATATAGGAATTGGGTCATTATTGTTTTCAGGATAGATATTGCAGCTGTGCTGAGACTCAGAACCAGTTTCTTGAAGCTTTCCTATGTGCTCCTCCTCCTTGGTATACCCAAAATCCAATGTGAGCTTTGGACTCAACAAGGGAGAGCGGACAGAGGCAGAACCATGTTGTGAATTAAGATATAACCAGAGGTTTCCTCCTGTAGGAGGAAAGGGAGAAAAGTAATAGCTAGAAATAGTTGGAAACACTGCAACTCCAGACCTCTAGTAGCCACACCCATTATTCCTGCCAACACTAGCCACCACTTTTAAGACAGAATTCAGATGGCTCATTAGAATTCTCTCTTACTGAATCCCAAACAAGTAACTATCTTCCTACACATGGGCTTGCTCCCTCTGTAATCTTATTCCTGCTATTACCAGAGCTGTCAATGGGACCTTCTTGTGGTTGTAAGAGGAGAGTCATGGTAGCAAAAAAGCAGAAGGAGCCTGATATCATCTTTTATTAATCAAAAAAGGTGCTACCACATTCCTGATTCTTTTTTATTTCTCACACATGAACTATACAACATTTACAGCAGGCAGGCCTGGGAGATGAAATCAGGAGTGCAACGTATCTAGCAACAAATACTCACCTTTCACATGTTCCAAATGGAGGAAGATGGAGTCCTTACTTACAGAATAGCACAATAATTCTGTCATGAAGGGGATTCCATGTGGGATGATGGTCTGTCTTTCCCGGGTCTCCACATGGGATTTGGGGATGCTCTGAAAAAAAAGAAAATAAAATCAGAAAAAATCGGTTTGGGATCTCCTCAGGCCAGAAGAGCCCAGTAGCTTACTCCAGTGGGGTTAAAGGTCCATGCTTGTTCTTACTGTTCCTTCTTCTATAAGCACAAGTGAAAGTTGACCTTCAAAGCTACCATTCCACACAGACCACAGAATTCCTCCATAATTTTTCTAGCCTATTATCTTTTTTAAAAAAAATATTTTTTATTAAAAGAAGATTTTACAAAGGTTTAAAAAACTACAGAAACAGAAGAATAGAAAAAGAAAGAAATTATAAAAGGGTAAAAGAAAAAGTAGAGGATAACAAAAAAGAAAGAAAAAGGAAGATATATAAAGAAGCATCTTTGATCTTCTTTGCAGCTGTTACCAACATATCAATTACCATCTCCACTCTCCCATATTACATATCATGGTTCCCTTCTTCCCATAAACAAACCTTTTTATCTAGTCTATTATCTCAAGCAGCATGTAAATAAGATATGCATACATACATACATACATGCCCTCTTCCACATTCTCACTGAGATGAATCTAGCGCTTAGTGGAATCTGGCTTGTACTAGAGGAAAGGAGCCAAAAGTGTTCTTCACAGTTCCTGCTTCCCTCTTCAAAGCTGCTCTAGAGGGCTAAGGAAACTCCCAGGACAACATCAGAGGGATACTGTAAGGGGGGGGGGGGGCGGGAAAGATCACTTCCTGCCCCTTTCCTCCAATAAGCAACCCCTGGTAGAGACTGGTGCCATATATGAAATCAGCACCAATGAATTTTAATAAACAATATTAGAGGTGGAAGATTTTACATATAAAGGTAACATAATTAACACTATTACTTTATTAGTAAGGCCAAATGTATCTGTTGATGTGACAAAAAGCAAATCTGCTTATAACTTCCTTCAGAACAAGAGACTTCAACAACTTTTTTCACAATATGCAAAATAGCCAGGGCCCATCACAAAACATAGATAAGATAGATCCATATTCTCACACCTTCCCCAACTAGTTTCTATTGCCATATTGGCAAGGCTGGATTAAAACCAAAAACACCCCCAAAACCAAACAGCAAAAGAAAGGTTCTGTCAGAATTCTCGCAATCAATTAACCAACCTGCTAGCTAGCTTGCTTCATTTCTGCCATTACAGATAGGAAAGCGGGGGGGGGGGGCATGCTGGGAAGATGAGCGGCCATAATCGTTAGAAGCAGATGGGCTGTTACTGGATTCTCAGGAATGCTCAAGGCCATATCAACGTGCGAAGGTGAGAGGACTGTGAGAGCTAGGGGCTAAGAGGCAAGGGGGGGTGCACTGAGAAATGGGCAAAAGTAACATTTTGGCGTGCGCGGGCTTAGTCTTAGCAATGCTTTGGACCTGTACACTACTTCTCAATAAATGAGCTTTTCTTTGAATCCATATCGGTTTTCAAGGAGATCTTCTTTTGTTGGGAATCGAGAGTGGCAGATTGTTACAGGTTCAGTTGCAATGCTCAGAACAACCCAGAATGCCCAAAATGGTCACATTTGTAATGTTTTATATGTTTCCATTCTGCAATGGCTCCAGAAATGCAGATGCAGGACAAAATAATTCAGGGCCATGTTAGCTCCACAGTGGTGCCATACCTAGGACTTTCTGTGAAAGAGAACAGAAAAAGAGAAAGCCACATACCTTCAATATAAAGGTGTCCCCAGTAGCTGGATCCTGAACTATTTGCACCTATAAGCAACACAATACATATCAACACCAAGATGGACCTGCTCCTATATTAATCTGCTGGTATACTGAGATCATTTGGAGAATTTGTTCTAGGGCCAGAGATATCTGACCTCTAGACTCCTAGCCCACCAACTCCTACTCCCTAGATCTCACCCTCAGCCTTCTCCTACTGCTTCCAATTTCAGAATGCTCAATCTTATTGAGTTTTTATGTTAGACACACAAGTAATCTCTAAGGAAAATTCCTTCACTTTCCAAGTGTTGAGTTTGCCATCTCTGATCAGTTGCTGATCATTTCCTAGGCTGGAACTATCTTCATCAAAGTGAAAAGCTTGCCTTAATGAGGCTCTAGTATGAAAACACATTTGCCACAATAGGCAGATTAGTTTTTATGGTTCTCTAGGACTTCATGCCTGCTTCTGCTTCTTCATGCATTCTTCTGGAACATCTCTGTTGCCTGAAGCTAGTTATCCAGCATAAACAGTGAGTTTACCTTATCAATTATTCCCACTACTTTACAGTGCTTAAGGTTCTCCACTGGTGTGCTGAGTGTCCTTATAGGACGAAAGCGAAGACTGCTGTAACCCTATAACCAATAAGGAAGGAAACACATCTTTATTTGAAGAGCCATAAAGAGTGGTACAAAATGAAGTCAGACAATTATGAGCAATCAAGCTTTATTGACCTTTTCAAACCCATATGTATTTATTCATATGCTGCAAATGTTTTGGGATTTTCAGCTATTGTTGAAAACTGCAGCATTTATAATCCACTTCATATTACAGATCAGCCATAGTTCTAAAAGCATTCTAGGACTCACATGGAAAAGACTGTGGCCATGTGGTTAGGTTCCATAACATCAGGAGAAATTTTTTGTCACCTCCTCTAGTTCCAAAGTATCCTATTCCTCCTCAATTTAAGAGTTTACAAAGCATATGTTTCCTGTGAAACTTCTACAGGGATGATATTATACTTCAAAGCAATTTATTTAAAAGTGGTCATGGACACTGACAATACAATGAAACTTTATTGATGAAACCATGATATTTTATATGCAAGCCAAATACAGTGTTGATGCAAATTCAGGAAAATACAAGACTGGTGCAAAACAAAGTTAAACTGAACAAGACACTTAAAATTGTTGAGGCATTCTCTCAACATGCTCAAATGTGACAGAGTAAAAAAATCTAGACTTCCGGGGGAGGAATAGCGAACTGAAGATGGCTCTGCTTTGCTGTTGCAAAGACTGCAACAAGGACCAAGGAACCAGTAAGTAGACTGGTTCCTTGGAATCTCTCCGGATAAGGAGAGGATGGGAGATTGCCCACTTGTGCTCCAGAGGCTGCTCCTCACAAGGAGACTGCAGGACAGTGGTTTTCCATGGATTTGGACGACAGGATTATCCATTTTGCTTGCAACCACGGCAGAGACTTTTAAAGAACATTAAGTTCGCAAACCTTACTTTCTAATCACTTTTGGAAATTGCTCATTAACTACTTTTAAGTTAGAGACCATTGGAATGACAAGTTGGAAAACACCAGGTGAGTCTGCCTTCACTCAATTAAAACAAGATATACTGCTACTTCTGGCAACCCCTTATGGACTTCCTGCTGACACCAGGACTGAAAAGTTGATGTCTTATCTTTTCATCCCATAACCCACCTCTTATTTATAAACAAATCCATAAAACATCAACTTTAACCTTGATCAAATAAACCAAGTTTATATTTCTGCCTTTTACTTCCTTTTACATTGTCTCCCGACACTCAAACCCATGAAAAACCACTGTCCTGCAGTCTCCTTGAGAGGACCAGCTGTCCAGAGCATATGTGGGCAATCTCCCATCCTCTCCTTATCTGGAGAGGTTCCACAGAACTGGTCCACTTACCAGTTCCTTGGTCTTTGCCGCGATCGTCAGCTCCACTTTTGCAGAGCTGTCTTCAGTTTAATTGGGTTCTCTTCATCTAGTTTTAGGACTTGTGTAGAGAACTGATCATGTTTTAGGTTATACTTATGCAGAAATATTGAAAATTCAAAAGGGTTCACAAATGTATAAGCACTACTGTATCCACATGATCCAAAGCTATCAGATTTCACCTAAAAAATTTAAAGCCCTTTTAAAGCTCTTCACAGTGCTGGACCAGGTTATATCAAGTAACCCTTTACCAAGATAGAATCTGCCTGACTGGTATGAACACTTAGAAAGGGCCTGTGAAGGGTCCCCCTCCTCTGCAAGGTCTATGGAACATGAACCAATGATTGGCCTCCTCAGTGGTGGTCCCTACAGTTTGGAATGTTTTACCTCTGGAAGTGAAGATGGCCTCCTCCCTCCTTGTATTTGAGAGACAAGTTAAAACCATGTCATTTCCCAGTTTTCCTGATGCCTCTTTTATATTTTATTTTTGTTTAGACTTGATATTATGATTTTGTTACATTTATGTTTTTAGTTTTAGCTGTGTATACCAGCTGTACTATGTGCTGCCTAGAGGCCTATTTGATTCAGACAGCTTATCAATATGGTAAATAAATAAATACATCTAATCTTACAACTATTTAAAACTTTTCAGCCAATTTGTAGTTATTGCTTTTTCTGGATAAATCCTCCATTTTGGGGAGGGGGGGTCAAGAAGTAATAAACACAAAAGTATAATGAAAAGCAGTAATTGGCAGTACAATATTGACATAATAGCATCAACCACTCATACAAAAATGCATCTTTTTTCTTCAAATCTCTTACAAAGTATAATGAAAAAGGCAAGTTAGTACATGTTTAATCCCAGAGCTGCTGGCTATTAGGAATCTGAAAAATAATCTCAAAAGAAGAAATAGCAAGCCACTTACATACTGTTGCCAAGGGAACTACATGGATGACATGACCAGGAGTCAATCTCAACTCAAGGTCTTCTTTATAATAGTTACAATGTCACACCCACACAAATCCAATATAGGTTGAGCACACCTATGCAGGGTTTCCGCCTACTATCATGGATTTAAAATGGAGAAGGTAACTGAACATACAAATTCCAGCCCCAATATCAACATCCTGTATTGAGGGGGAAAGCTTCTCACATCCATGACTTCAAGTTAGAAATCTCTGTGCATCTGAGAACTCTGATAAAATAGACATGAGTAGAAACATCCAAAACTGAATTTAGGAATCCAGAATAATTTAGGCAAAATATTTGCATATGATTTATATTATTATATTATTATATTATATTATATTTATTATATTATAATTTTGTTTCAAGGATTCAGCATTTAATCAATTGAAATTATCTGTAAAGAAGAGATTGGAAATATATAGGCAAAAAAGGGATAATAATGACATTAAACTGAAATAGCATATCACCCATTAAGCATGGAATTTCTGTCTGACAACTTCCTTCTTTCTAAGTTTCCTCTAGAAACTGAAAATTTATTGAAAGGATAACTCTGTAATCTGTATAGAAAGAAACTTCTCTTACAATTTCAAAACTTGCACAGCCCAACACAGGTCTGGATTTTCATCCATTCTATGTAAAGATTATTTCTACCAGTCCTCCATATAACCTCCTAGTTTAAAACAGTATCTACCTAAACAATAATTTTCTTCTTAAATTTCACCCATTCCTTTCTTGCAGTTCTGGATGCACCAGAAGTAAACAAAGCCAGAATCTTCAAAATGCATTTCTCTTCCTTACACATTCTTCTCTGCTTCTGTAATATTATGATATAACACTTGAAGTGCAGCAGAAAAGTTTTTAAGCAAAGGTGAGACAACCATTTGTCTGGGATTGTACGTGGATTCCTGCTCTCGGCAGGGAGTTGGACTAGAACAGTGTTTCTCAACCTTGGCAACTTTAAGATGTGTGGACTTCAACTTCCAGAATT